TTCAATTTATTATTTCCACGCATTTACTTATTTGTACGCACAATGAAATGAGTGAGGCGACCTTTCATAAATGATTTGCACTGGATATGTTTTAATTGATTGATACGTCAATTTTAAATAGGTTGACGATATCCTTGTACTTTGGGTAATCTTTTTAAGACTATCTCACAAGTATCCGGTCCATCAACTAACAATAACGGTCATCCTAGTTATGAACACGCGTTCCATGCTTGTCCTTGCCTAATTCCACAAGCATTCACCTCAGTCTCCGTTTGAGCCGGTGATACAGGCATGACTCATTGCGAAATGTGGTTTTACTTTCTTAAAGGATAGGTGAGCGCCAAGATCTGAAAACCCAAGGGACTAGGGACTTGAAGATACATTGGGCACGGTCTCACATCAGCAGTACTTTGAGAACATATAAAAGCATTTGGTTTAATGAGGCGATTTTTAAATCTGATCTTGGCACTGACCGAATTTAAACACAAAATTAACAATCATTTAAGCCAAAAGTTCTCCACTCTAGTTGTGCAGATGACTTCTCATCCGTTAGATTTCGGATTCCATAAGTAGGATGCCACTATATCCCTGCAAGGCTATTATCAGGATTCTATTTTTAATTTTTGGGCGGTGGCATTTTTATTCGCATTTATAAAAATAGTCATTGGATTGGCATTAAAAAGTATCACTTTAACACAACATAAATGTTGCATATTTAGATCTGCAGCTCCATGGATTTTCAACAGCCTACCTGGTTGAGGATTCCGTACCGATGTTAGCCTACTGAAACGGTGAATAGTAGGCATATGAACTTGGGCTTTCCATTGCACTTCTCAATGGTGAAACCCATTAGTGTTACGTATATCAGAAAATGAAGGCAAAAATGACATTATCATAAGTTTTACTTCATACTCTCCAACCCTTTGCCCCATTTAAAGCTAGCAAAATCAATAAAATGGCGCCATATGAAGAGCACATGCAAAGGGTGAATGGGCAACGACTGGTCGACGCGAACAAAATCAGAGAAAAAGCAGGTGTTGAGTAGTCATAGCTACTGTAAGTGGTATAAAAATGGAACCACATCTAGGATTCCTAGTTTTTTAGCGCCAAACCCCTTCCCTCAATACGTTACAAATCCCACTTTTCCGGAATTCGATCCAACTCTCTTCCTAGTTGATATTGGTGCCAAAGATGTAAACTTGAACAATCTGATGAAGAAAAAGAAGCAAACTAACATAGCCACAAGTCGACTCTTTATTTATGGCCCCAACAAGATACGCTATTTGCTACAATTTCGAGCTGCAAACGCTGAATTTTCATTCGTTTATGCCAAGGACAGACCCGCTGCTGAATGTCAAAAAACGCGTTCATCTCAGACCCATGGAATTGAAAAATTTGTAAAAATAAATGAAGGGATACTTAATCGTAACTTCTACAGGAAAGAATTTATCCCTACGTCTAACCAACCTAAGAAATTCACTCGGGAGCATATACATCAGTGCGATGAAAATCTTGAAAGCCAAATATTTGTCGAGAAGGATGGAATGGAATTTCTAATATCAATTAGAGGAGACCTAACTGCTGCTTCCCAGTTTAAGTACGAGGCTCCATCCAACTACTTAGGCTCTTGCCGAGCTTCCTTATTGATAAGGATAGACTCCGAGGGTGATGTATGCCGAGTATGCTTTGACTTGGTGGACGTAAATTATGGAAACATATTGTCAAAGACATCCAGAGGCTGTCAGACCACAGATCCTTACATTTACTACAAAACCCGTGGCATAACCAATTCGTTCATTTACGTTCCCGTTCCACTCTCGACCTACCTGTACAGGGATCCAATGCCCGGCATTCGCTTGCACAGCCACAAACAGTTGATGAGGGGCGTGGAGCCCGAGTGGATGACGGAAGTCAGACGAAAACGCCTTTGTCATCCCAAGAAGGTGAAGGCAGATCCAAGATATCCGGGTTCCCTCGTCTCCAGTTTTATTGTGGAGTATGGAGGATACGCTTACAAGGCCTGCACGGGTCTATTAAGAGCCCGACTAATCCGAGGCACTCAACTTTATGACGAATTTGTACGAACACATTTCTCAGAGGGGGAAAAGTTTCCTGAAAAATTTTATGATTTACCTGATAATTCAAGTTTTTTGAGGCTTTGAACAGATTTATAATTGTAACTTGCAAGCATTTTTATACGCAGTCATAGTTTACCACTGATAGTATGGAGTAGAAGAGCTGGCTAGTTGGACAATCTAAAAATGCAAGTCTACTTTGACTTCATAATTTTTACTTTGACTGCCGCAATCTTATTATAAAATGTAACAAGCAGTAATTTACAAGATTGTTAGGAGCAGTATTTAAGGCGTCCTGGAACACTTGTTCTATTAATGTCAGGTATAATGGGAATGATAAGATTTGTAAAGAATTTGGCCGGATAAATAGCCTTCATTTATCCGAAATTTAAGGGTGTAGGGGCAATTGAATGAATCGGCACAGAAAATTGGTGCATTCCATTTTGGAACAAAATAAACTCCTCCATCTCGTGCTTCACGCCATAAAAGGCATCACTTATGAGAGGTTCTCCGTATTTCGCGTACCTTTGTAATAAAATAGCATTCGCCCATGGTTTGCTTACAAACAAATCTATTATTTCGTACCTCTGAAATTAAAAGCGCGGTTCCTCATTCATACCAATACACTTCTAAGCACGAATAAAAGCACTACTTAGTGAGCTTTTGCGACTGTTCAAGAATTTTCTTGTGGGCAAAAGATCATTAGCAAGGGAGATACAGTGCCGACACTCCGCGATAGAATGTAGAGAATGTTGCCGATGTTCGTTGTTTGAAAACTGTAAAAGTCACGGAATAAATAGGATCTGAGAGTGGTTGGCTGGTTGTCCACTTGCCTGACTAAGAGTGGAGAGGGATAAGCAGGTGCGCCTCTACAAAATTGGGCACTAAAAAATGGTGACGGTGGCTGTGGTTAGCCCAGAGCGAATCGGTACGCTACATCTTTACAGCAACGTTTTCAGACTGCTTGTGGATCGTATATTGTGTCCAATTCCGTCTCATATTGGCCACGCAGTCGAGCAACGAATGAGTTCTGTTCTGTGCTGTTGTTGCCAGTGCTTTCGGCATTTCCTTCCAACGTTTTGCTGATAAATAAAGCCTCAATGCACGAACAAGCAACAATTTCATGAGCTACTTTGTCGAGTTTTGCTAGGTTTTTTGGGAATAGTAGCACTCCAAGCTGTTTTAGACTGGTCGTCATGCTACCGTAATTGTCCCGTCCACGGACCGCAATTATAATACAGCCAAGATAGATGTGATTCTCCTTCACATTTATTATGCCCATGCTGTATTTTTATTTTTACAGTATGGGATGTTCTGATAAATCGCTAGATAATATTTCAATTTCGCAAAAAAACTGCATCTAAACCTGCTCATCATGAAGCCTTAGAAAAGTTGCTCGTATGAAATAGCACGTTTATTCGAGACCGACAATTTATGGGCTCCTAATTTGCTTGGCATGCGGATATTCATTTACGGTGGATGTGTCCGAAAGGTTTTGTGCATTGGAATAGTTCGAAATTGAACGGAGAGACGGAATGTTGTGAGTTACGGCTTGAGCACAAAATTTTCTCCAACCACTGAGCATTGCGTTGAGGACAGGTCAACACATAAAGTACAAAATCTCCCCACAATAACGCTCATGGACACTTCTGGTCCACTGTAACGCTCTTATCGTCAGCTTAGCATAAGCCATTTCGCCGAATAGTTGTTTACTGGGGGATTTCTTGCCTTGGTGCGGAAAAGTTGCGCATATACGAGTTCCGTATATTATTAACGCTAACATTTGAAGAAATTCAATCGG